ATGTTGAACTTCAGCAGATGCCTTCAGAGCTGCAAGTGACCCTCAGGCGATGCAACGTTCCACCTCAACAGCGGGGTTTGGCAGAGGGTGTCATCCAAGACCCATCATCTTTCAACAGCTCTGTGACCTGTGTAGTACCAACCAGGCATTTGATAATGCAGCGCTCTCCCAGGTGCCAGTAGCTGGGCCTTGACTGAGCATGTGGTTTTTGTTTGGCTGCTGCCAGCAGTTGCTACTTTCCCATGGCTCGGTGTTTTCCCCATGCGCATTTCAGTAATGTGCAAAATGTGCATTTTCATACTTTTCCTGTGAGTAATGCTTACTAAAGTTCAAGTCTAATCAGAACCTGTGCAGATGAGTATGACCAAGGTTTAAGGTAACACATAAACGTGAAAAGGAGAAATGCTAAGATGACCTGAGTTTTAACTCGGCTCCAAAACGCAATGCTCAGTCCCTGCTTGTGTGACGGCACCGGCGTGGTTTCTCCCGCAGAGGCTGGAAGTGCTTGTTCCAGCGTGTACCTGTGCTGAGCAACCTGCTGCTGGGCAGCAGCTGTTGGGAACTGCAGGATGGTGCTTGGACGTGGCGTAGACAGCCGGTGCAGGGCCAGCTGTGAGCCGGCAGGCTCTGGGGTCTCTTCTGCCCTCCAGCCTGCCAGGTTTGACCCATTGCTCCCAACTTGGCTAGCAAGGGATGTTGGGGGCAGATTGCAGCCTCCTTTGACGTGCAAACTGATTTCTTTACTGAAGTCGATGAGCTAGATTAACTGTCTGTGTCTTTCCTCTTACCTGCTCCCTCACTGGAATAGCAGCACCCAGCAGATGGGACACCTAAAGCAGATCTGTGCTGAGTTCATGGCACCCATGAATATTTCAAAGACTGGTGATGTCTCCAACCCCATTTGTCTGCTCAGAGCTGCAGCCGGTGTCACCATCTCCTGGGACCAGACAATGCCTCTGAATACCTGATACATATTGTCCATGCTAACGTTATTAACTGTCTATTGAAGCTGCTGTGGTTTTCCTGGACAGTGTCTCTGAAAATGCTGCTTTGGAGCTCAGACTTGGTACTGCTGCTTTTGCATGGGCTGTCACAACTCGACTTGCTGGGAAGCCCTGGAGGGTCCTCTGCCATCTCGCTGCATGTCAGGAGGTCTGACTAATGCAGAAGATATTCTTCCACGCTAGCTGTGAGTCACTACAGTTCATACTGGTGTGTGCCGCTCCCTGAAAAAACACCTCTAAAAAAAAAGTCTTTAAGCTTGGATGCTGGGTGCTATGAAAGCAATCCAGTGCATTCAATTTAAGCATAACCATGCCCGCGAGAACGGTACTCCTTGGTGTTTGCTGAAGTGACTTTGAACATGAAACAGTGTTTATGGAAAAAATAAAGGAATAGTTTGTTGTAATCTAACTATTGACAGCATAGTTATTAAGTCCAGACAGAACTGTACAAAACTAAAATAAAAAACCACTTGTATTTAGCTGTATTTTAGACCAACTTCACAAGGTTGTTCTCCCTGTTTCTTCCAGCTAATACATCCCCAAGACCCAGCTGTGAAACCACTCCAGTCTTGGGGCAATTTTCAATAAAGATCATTCTGGGTTACGTGTATGGGCATCTTTACATATTCAAACGGTCCTTGGGGCTCTCTTCAGATACAGCTCTTAGCTTCAAGATTTTCTATGACCTGTAAATTAGTTAGTCCTTCAGGAAAAAGGGGCTAGAATTATTGGCTGCTCCCTCTAGCTTTTAGAAATGCCAGAGGAATAGCTACTTCGTAAAGCCTTTGCCTGTGTACGAATAGGCAGCCACACTGCTGCTCAAGCGTATTTTAAAGCACAGCGAATGTGGTGCACTTTTAGCTGTCAGCTGAGCCGAGAGGATGGCTCCCAAGCTCACTGGTACCCCAGCGCTGGTGGCTGAGTGGCTCGAGAGCTGAGGCTTTCCAAACCTAACAAAACAGGTATGTTTGAATAATACCCGGGTATTTTGTTTGCCGTAACAAAGGAATCCAGGAGAAAGATGAGGTTTGTCTGACAAATTATTCTGTGAAATCTGCTTCTAAAACACAGAGTAAGTACTCAGATGTTTCTTGATATTTCAGTTGCAACGTTTGGGGATAGAGCTACTCAGGCTGTAGCATGTCCCTGTTTGTACCGTGCAAACGGAGCCCAGCCCTGGCACCAACGCGGCACGGGGGAAAGCAACACCAGACTTCAGGTCTACGCGAGATCCGGATTCTGAGGGACTTGCAGGGGCCGAGGCGGTCGGTCTGCGGCGCGTTGCCTGGAGCAGCAGGTGAGGAGGCTGTGGATGGAGGGGCGCGATAACGCCGCCCCGTCGCCGTGCTCCGCTGCCAGCTGCGCGGCCAGGGCACAGCGGTGCCTGAGCTCCAGCGAAGCGAGCCCCAAGAAAGCGTTGGATGCCTTCCTGAAACGGGCTGATAAGTGTAGTTAGGAAAAGGGCTTAAGTTTCTTAAATTGATTCCTCCACCCCGGGCTACGTGCGCCAGCTCCTCCTGGCCCTCGTGGTCAGGGCAGCCAAGACGTCCACGTTGGCGGTCAGCGGTGGCAGGTCTCCAAGGGAAGGGCAAAGAAG